GGGCAGCCCACTGTTCCCTGCTCCCCCTCCTCCTGGCCCAGAGGGGGCGCCTCACCCCCGGCTCGCAGAGGCCCCGCGCGAAGGCGCCCAGTGCTGAAGGAAGTGTTGATATAAAACAAGTCGCTGTTCGCTCCCAAACTAAACCCACACAAACCCACCAAAGCCACCAGGAGGGGAAAAACCAACAGCAATCCAGCCAGCCCCTAGCAATTGTTTCACGGTCGGAATTCAATCACATCAAAACGCCCCCTGAAACCCACATCCTGGAGGAGTGAACCTGCAACAGCCAACCTCCCGTCGTTCGCTCGAGTTCACACGAACAACCAGCCTCTACATCAGAGGGGGCTGGTGGGCGGAGGAGAGGTGGGGGTGATACTGTTTATCCTGCGCCTCACCCACCACATCCCGGACCTTGAGCTCCCAGGCTCGGCACCCGGGGAGGCGGCTGCAAACGCTAATCGTAGCCCCACACGAATTAAAGGAGTCAGAAAAACCTTTGGCCAGGACTATGCCGAGCCTTCCTGGGGTTACCGCCCTTCCTGCGCCCCTTCCCCCCCCTTTTTGCCCCAGAAGCAGTAACCCTCACGTGGACAATGTCAACTCGTTCTCAGACAAAGCTTTATAGAATCTTGTAGAGATTCCTTTTAAGTGAAGCCCATCAAGGATCTGCAACAATCAACCAACACCATGCAGGGCACGGGGAGGACAAACAGTCACGCAAATAAGCAGCGTGTGGGGTGATTTCGTTAGAAACAATGTTTCTAGAAGAGGAGATTACAGCCAAATACCAAACTCAGCCACGGATATTCGACTGTTATAGGAAATAACTCCCATTAATTATTGTTCCCCAAATTATCATCTTCTTTAGCTTCTAATCTCCAGGACACCTGGAGCTGAGCTCCAAATGACTGTGAGAGTCCAGACAATTAACATGAAGGAGAAAATGGGATTCGAATTAGTTGCAACACTTAAACAGGGGGATGTAGGAGTCATCATTTAATCTTCTCTGGGCTTCCAGAAAATACCCTCTGGCCATTCTATGTGTCCGATCAGTCCCCACCTCCCATCTTATTCTAGTTTGATGGAAATGAACCTCTGTTCCCGCGGTTGCACTGGTCAAATTGTACGTTTCAGTTCTGTTCTTAGCGGTAAATTTGCACTACTATGGGAAGACTTTTGACTTTGTTCTCCCATATTTCACTTAGAATACAACTATCTATTCACACTTTTGCGTCATTATTTCATATTCATGCATAATTTGAAGGCAAGTTGTGGACCACTATTACCCAAAAAAGAATGAAAATCTTTTTCATATTATCTTGCACATACACTAGCTGAATATCCTTTAAGTTCTTCTCTGAAACAATGTTGCTAATTATTTAAAGGGGGCTTAATATTTTATTCTTCTGGGCTCCCATGATCTGTCCCTTAATGTCACCTTAATCCCCAAAGGGAATTTGCATGCTCCATGGGACCAGCTGAACCCCTTGAAAGATAAGTTTTTAAAGTTGCTTCCATATTAGAATCCCACCTTCACCAAGTTGTTCCCAGTAGCTTTAAGTGTTTATTTAGAGTATGTTTATCATGTCCCCCTAGGGAAAAGAAAAAGGGTCTTCGAATGGCCATTTCCCACGTAATACAGCCAAAGTCTGATTGCTACTATGTTCCTCATTTTCAGTTCAGTCCCATGGAGACACATCTCTTCCGGCCCGTATACTGTTCTGAGGTTTTACAGATGGCTACTGTATTTGGTATCATACTTTTGCCTAGGTTTTTAACTGAAGGAATTTGAGAGCCAAGAGACAAATTGTAATGTGTTGTCAAACTCCAGCTTCGTTTATACTGTAACTTTCACAAAGCATCTCCTTACAAGTCCTGTCCTTGGGCAAAAATGGACCAGTGAGCTGGTGGAGGCTGAAGAATTTTTGTAGTTGGATTTGGATTTGAATCCTCAAGCACCCCTTTGAGCGCGCAGTACAAGGTGCCAGCGAATGCCCTGCCTTCCCTCCATCTTCTAGATTCGCTCTCTTGGGTCCTTTTGCCTTCTTTCTGCTCGGGTTTTGTTTTCATGCCGTGGAGTTTTCATTCGAAAACCCAGGATCGTTCTACTGTAACCCCGTACTGGGATCCCCAGTGGTGAGGACGCAATGAAAAAAAGATGTTGTTTTGAAGAGATAATTAAGAACCAGTCTTAATTCCACCTTCCTCGTCTTATTTTTGTCGGTAAGCTTGAAGATTTTTATTTGCCCTGGCGTCTTCTCCCTTCTCTCCAAATAGCGTGTGCATAATAAACCATAACTCTTTCCCTTGTCCTTCTGGCTTCCGTTCTCCCTTATTAGTTGGGCAATGTCTGTTCTGTTTCCCCACTTTCCTTCTCCCCTCTCTCCCAGATTCCCCCTCGTTCCCCCCTGTCAGAGCATCTATCAATGTGGTGTCGATCACAGCGGCGGCGGCTTCTCTTTCATCTTCCTCCCCCAGCCACAGAGCAGGAGGGAGAAAGGAAGGCGGAAAGGAGGTGGGGGAGAAACTGGCAGAAGAAGGGGGGGGGGGGTCAAGGGAAGAGATACTTAGTTGAAGTTAAAGCCACTCAGTAGAGTTTGTCGGTTTCACGAGGACAAAGCGAGACTCTCCGTGGGTTACAAGCAGCGCCCAATCCTTCCTTTCCTCGCCAAGTTGCTTCATCCATTCCTGCACACACACACACACACACACACACACACACACTCACTCACTCACTCACTCACACACACACTCTGCACAAAATTAGGACTCGTCCTACAGGCCCTGGGAAAAGAAGAGGGGGGAAGCCCTCAATCACCACCTCCTTCTCGCACCTCCCGTCCCCCCATCCCCCTCCGTCCCCCACCCCCCTCCAAGAGGGCAGCCAAGAAGAGCTGGAGGCGGGGGGAGAGGAGGGGGAGGAGAAGCGACGCATGTGGGTAGCTTTTCAGCGCCGGCGAGGCGCGGGAGGAGGAGAAGCGGTGGGGCAGCGCAGCCGCTCACCTGCGGGGCAGGGCGCGGAGGAGGAACCGGAGCCGCGCGCTCTCGAGGCGAGGAGCCGGGACGCGCCCGGAGCCCCGCACGCGGCCCAGCTCTGGGCCTGTCCTGCCCCTCGGCGGGGTGCACCCGAGGGGGCGCAGCTATTTGCTTTGACAGAGCGGGGCCCCGCGGAGGCGTGGAGAACGGCGAGAGAGAGAGGGGGAGAGAGAGAGCGCCTGCGAACCAGGCTGAGAAACTCGAGCCGGGAACAAAGAGGGGTCGGGCCGCTGGTGTGTCGGCTCCAAGTCGGGGGCAGAAACTTCTGGGACCGAGGCCCCTGCTGCGCCTCCCGCCGCGCCCTCCACTGCCTTGCCCCATTGCTCTCCAGCATAAACTTTATTTCTGACAAACTTCTCTTTCTTTTCCCCTCCTACTCCGCCCCACCTTCTCTTCCTCCTCTAGCCGATTATTCAAAGCGCCTGGATAAGGAAAACGGAAGCGAAAGGGAAGGAAATAAGCGCTAAAAGGACATCTCCATCTCGGGTTGCTTTTAAAAAAAAATCTGCAGGAAGTGGACTTTGCGATATCTTGATCATCCTTGCGCTTTCTCGCCGGGGCAAACGGAGTCTTTTTTGTTCCCTTCCATTGCCTTTTCTCGGAAAACCAAGCTCCAAATCGGCTTCTCTGGGAAATACGGTGGAAACACTTGCTGTAGGACGCGTTGACGGAGCCCCGAGCGCATTCTGGCGAGTCGACCACCCGGCAGAACGCGCGTGCTCTGAGCGTAGACGCCCGCGACGCAGGGGGGCGTGGGGTGAGCACCCCGGCCGGGCAGCCTCGCCGAGCGCGCGAGGCGCAGACGCCCGGGAACCACCGCTGTCCTCGCTGCCCCGCGCCTTTCGGCCTCCGGGGCGGGCACCGGCGTGGTGTCCGCGAGGCGGGAAGGGGAAGGCGCGCGCGGCCGCCGGGGATCCAGCGCCGCCGCTCCAGCTGCCGCCCCACATTCGCCGTCCCCGCGTACCTTTCCTCCCCCGCCCTCCCGTCTTGTCGCTGAGCCCCTCTCTTTCCTGCGGTCGCACCGAGTGCTCCTGCAGCGGAGCGGAGATTCCACAGCCGTCGGGATGCCCCAGCTCTCCGGGGGAGGTGGCGGCGGCGGGGGGGACCCCGAACTCTGCGCCACGGACGAGATGATCCCTTTCAAGGACGAGGGCGACCCCCAGAAGGAGAAGATATTCGCTGAGATCAGTCACCCCGAGGAGGAAGGCGACTTAGCTGACATCAAGTCGTCTCTGGTCAATGAATCTGAAATCATCCCGGCCAGCAACGGGCACGAGGTGAGCGGCCGCTGACCGAGCCGCAGCAGCGCGGCGGGGTCCGGGGGCGACTGGAGGAAGGATGGGGTGCAAGGCGCAGGACACCCAGGCTTCCAGGGCTTCAGGAGCCCCCGCGTGTGCGTTTGGGGGGAGGGAGTCCCTGCTCAGGACATTCCCTTCCCCCTTTTTGTGTCAGAGGCCAGTGGACAGAACGTTCAAGGGGGCATTTACCAAGTGGATCAGATTCGGGTTTCAGTGGTGAACTGCCGGTTTGTGGGCAGGAAAAACTGCCCTTAACCTGCAGCGTTTCACCTGCAGACTTTTGGATGCAATTGAGGGAGTGCAGTGAACAGTGAACTAGGGCGAGGGTGGCTAAACACCACCGCCGAAAAGTTCTTCCCAGGGACAGAAAGCAACGTGCACCGCTGTCTTCCTCGGTAGCTGCCTCTGCAGAAGTGCGTTAAACCACCAAAAGGCTATATGGTGGCGGCCTGCGGAGCGAGCGGAAGGTGGGCGGGCGTGGGCCGGGCAGGCGGGCCCCCCCAACCGCCGAGCGGCCGGCCTGGCGCGCGCGGGGACTTCTCGCGGCCCGGTTCGCTGCGGGATGTGGGGCTGGACCCCCCCCAGAGCCATCCCCCGGAGGGAGGGCTAGCCCCTCGGCCTGCAACACTCCTTTTCGTCTTTTGAAAACTCCCCCCCCCTTTCTTATTTGGGTCTGGATCAGGCCTGAAATCTATGCCGAGCAAAGGTGTAGTGTAAGGGGAGATGTGGCGGAAGTTGGGGCACCACACAAGGGAGGGTGGCAGGCCCTTTATCAGATCGCCGGGCCCAGTGGGGGCGAAAGCGCTGGTAACCCGAGTAGAGTAAATAGAGACACGTGGGTGCGGGGGACTGAAAGCCGGGAGCCGGCCCGCGCGGGATAGGGCTATTTCGGGCGGTGCAGAGCGCATCGGATGAGGGTGGGGGCGGATGGACCCTGATATCCGACACTCCATTGGCCACCCTTGTTCAACAACTGGGAAATCTTTGGAGGAAATCCGGTAGAAGAGTATTGACACCTAAATGATTTCACCAGCGCTTTATCCCCCCAAAGAAACTCGGAGGGTATACCCTTTTCCCTTAAATGGCATCCTTCTGCCCCAAAAGAGAAAGCTTGTGGTTTAGGAGGCGGGGAAATTGGGGGTTTTAAACAACACGTTTAAGAACACCTCACAGTTACCTTCTCTATCCAAATGGCAGGGGTGAGTACTTGTTTTGTGAGCTTGGGGGCCTGGGTTCCGAGAAAGTTCTGGGGCAGGGTCCTCCTTTGTCAATTTGAGTTCAAGGGGCACAGGGGAGCACTTAACCTCACTTAAAAGGGTTTGTGAGTATGTATTTATGGGGGGGATCCTTAAGATTGAATATGTGAGAAGGGCCAGATAGCATTCACAATACTCAGAAGATTTTTGCCAAACTCATATTTAAGGAGCAGACCATCCCTCCTCCTTCCATTTTTGTGTATCAGTTTTTACTCCCTAAGTTAGTTTTGTCACCCTGTTCAAGCTTTTCTGCACTTCTTTGATCTGAGAAAGAAAGGCATTGCATTTGAAGCCGAAAAGCAGGGTGTTAGGGATTTGTTAATTTTGGCTGAGGTGCCCAGTAAGCATAAGACAGACCTATGGTGAAGGAAGATGGTGAAAGGGTGATACCACTGATTTGCACGTGGTTGAGCCTGGGTGGATGGTGGTTACCAGAGCTGATATTAGCTGGGCTTCCTTTAGATGTCTGTAACCTGACTCTCTAATTTTCTTCCCTTTAACCACAAAACTGTACTACTTTTTCTCTTGTAAGCATGCAGCCGCCTGCCCATGGTAGATAGGGAACTGGAGTGGAACCCTTCTGAGACAGTGATGAGGGCAGTGGCCTTTGGACCCCATCTGTGAATGGTTGGCTTGTTTATGTTTCAAATGCCATTCTCAGTTGCAAAATTATATTTCCCCTCACTTTTAATTGGCACTGACTGAAGCATTCAGCAGTTGAAGCAGCTATCAGAACATTTAACCCCACTAACTTCAACTCCTATCATGTTAGGCCTCCAGGTAACCCTGATAGCCTGTACGAAGCAATAGTCAGAAGTGTGGAACATACCCAGGTTAAGCGCCTTATTATTATGCTTTTAAATCCTGGCTAGATACTCATTCATTCCTGGTGAGTTGGAACATCAGGGGCTGCTCTGTTGAGTATCTAAGGCTGTAAATCTCATGGAAGGAGAATGTCCATCTTTCTCCCTCAGGTTAGATGGTACTCAAAAAAAGATTCCCCACTATTAAACCCCAGCCTTGATTTACTAAAACAGTTGGGTTGGGGTGCACATAACCCTTCTCCTTTGAGTTGCCAGTGAACACACACTTCTAAATTATTATCAGAAACTCTAAGGTGATTTTCTTTCTTTTGGTGGCTGGGCTTTGTGCTGGTAGGTGGCAAGACAAGCGCAAACCTCTCAGGAGTCCTTCCATGACAAGGCCAGAGAACACTCTGATGAAGGTAAGACTCTGATGAGGGAGTCCGCTTTCTCAAGCGTTGTGTTTTGTTAACTTTTAGTTCAAGAAATAGACCAGATGTAATAAGATTGTGCCTACTGTTTGAACAGAATTTTAAAGAAAACTCAAACAGCTGACTTACCACTTATCTGTGATATAATATCATTTAGAAGTATCTTTAAATAAAGTTAGGAGGCCTTTGGATTTCTTTTGAGTTCTACATTCTTTGGGGAAGAGGAAACCTCTAGAATGAATTTTTTTCCTCATTTTTACCTGAAGTTCAAAGTATTTTTAGTATTTGAGATCTTTAGTATTTTTCTTCCATGTGTTTGTGTAAAGGATGATTCTCCCTAATTTGTTTCAAAACAAGCATAGTTTTTATGGGGTTTTCCTTTGCAAATTTGATGTGACTTTTTATCGTGAGAAGACAGACAGTAAAGGTACAACTGCACAAGGCTTAGGAAATCATTATCTAACTTGTGAAAATACAGTTTCATTCTTGCAGTTAGAAATTAGGTATTTTCAAGCAGGATAAACAGACTGGTGTTTTCCCCTTTGCAACTGTGCTCAAAGTTTCAAGATAAAGGTGTGTTTTTCAGATTTTGGAGAATTCCTGGTGTTTTCAAGAACATCAGTTTGTCTTTAGGATTTACTTGTTGCCCAGTCTGAATTTCTGTTAATTATTTAAAATTGGCCTGATCAGAATGAAGTGTTCACAGATACAGTATGTCAGCGAGGAAAAGAAGGGAGGAGAACTCAAACAGCAAGCTTCCTTCTCAGCTACACATAACTATTCAGATTAAAAAGAAGAAATCTGTATATGGAACACACACAAATTACTTTGACAGAATGATGTAAGTGTAGCACATAAAATTAAGCCTGCTGGAGTTAATCCTTCATAAATTTGGGGAGTTGCCCAAATACTTGGTACAACTCTCTCCATTTTATCACAGTAGTTCTCTTCCAGAAATAAAAAAAGAATAAGTAGAAGATTTTCATTTTCTTATATGATGGAGAAATTTGTTGTGTATGTATGTGTGTAGCCAGTCTAATATATTTATATTATAGCCTTAGTTTTGTGTAGTTTTTTCCCCCATGTGTCTGTACTTCTTAATCCAGCTTGTTAGTATTAGAACAAATTAAGTTAGATGGATAACACTTATTTTTGTAAAAACACCAGTCAGTTGTGGAAGTAAATTGAACCACATGTTTTAAAAACATCTGGTTCGCTGCTAAGCCATTTAAGAGAATAAATACTGTCAATGTAAAATAGATCATGATAATTTAGTTACCATATTTTGTAAACAAATCTTTTAAGTATGGTTTTATTTTCTCAGATGAAAAAAATACAAAGAAAAAGAAAAGGAAGGTATCATATCATTGATTATGCTTTGGACTCTCTTAGGAAAACATCCAGATGGAGGCCTCTATAACAAAGGACCCTCCTACTCTGGTTACTCCGGGTACATAATGATGCCAAACATGAATAACGACCCGTACATGTCAAATGGATCTCTTTCTCCACCCATCCCAAGAACAGTGAGTAACATGCTGACGTTGCAAATTATTTCAGAAATGCACATTCATTTGCATTTTGGCAGACTTTATTTTTTTCAAACACATTGGAAATGGTTTCATTATATATGACCAATCATTGCATAATAAGAGTTGTTACAGTGAATGGCTGTCTTCAAATAGTGTTCCCTTTGATGTCTTGCACCTGGAGTTTTAGTTTTTGGCTTATTGATTAAGGTTAATAAATATCAGTTTATGTGTTATCATGACTTGAAATGGAACTAAGTGAAGAAAGCTTATAAAGTGCTTTATGAGTACTGTGCTTTTTATGCTAATCAGAGGAAAAAAATTTAGTTCAGGCTATGAGTTAACTAGGTATGGGATAACTTTCATTGCTCATAAGCTACGTAGAATCAGATTTAGAGAAATAGCTAACCTATCTTTGATTTTCTTTTACTTGGAATATTAAAGCAGTGACTTGTGTTTTGTATTAACATAATTGGGAAGAAGGATGAGTTATTATTACTCTACATTGTTGACAGTGTATCATGTGGAGATAACCATGAAAATGATTTTTTTTAATCCAGTGGTTCAGTTAATTTTTAAAGTTCTAAAGATGTAACTCATTAGAATTTCAGGTATGCTATTTGATACTTCTTTTCTCTTGAAAAATATTAATAGCGCCATTAATAGTAAGAAAACATCTATTGGGTAGTTTGTATAGAATGTGTATATGAAATATTCTGGTGCTAGAGAGTTCTCCCAAAGGCCTTAGAATTGTCCCTCCAGTGGTGAAGATGTATTTTTACTGATCCATCTTATATACTTATCTCTAGCCTCTCTCTTCCTTCACCACTCACCCCTGGAGCATCACCACATATGGACTGATCTTGGACATTATTAGGGTTTCAGTTTCAAAGCTAGTTTCTAGCTCTCTTGGGGGATCAAATCCAGGATCTTAAAATGGAACTGATTGTTTTTGCCTTCTTTTTTTGCCTCATTTGCTTGGTGTTCCCAGCGACTGAAAATACCAGTCATAGCTTCTGAGGAAAGGACTGTTGTTAATGCCTTAGTGAATAAGAGTGAGAAGGCGTTCAAAGCTAGCAGAGCTGAATCAACAGTATCAACCAGCAAGTAATGCTTGTGCTTATCTTGATTAGCCATAGACCTTAGTTGTTGAAGTGATTGCTGATACTTCATTCACAACCACTTCTTGTGGGTACTGTGATTTAGAAGTTTTTGTAACGATTCTCCTAGAGATTTCAAAAACATAATTGACTTTTCAGGTAAAAAAAAGAAAGAAAGATTTTTCAAGTTTGTATGTAGGCACTATAATTAATCTGGAATTATGGTTCTTAGAGAAGATAGATGTTTCTCATTTTTAAAAAACAAGACTTATATGGTATTTAATGATAGAAAGATCTGTGTAGTGAATGTGTGACTCTTCTATATAGAAGATTAATAACTCAGTAACACCTAATATACTCCAAATAAATGTGTCTGGGTTGTCAAATTTGTAGACACCTCTGTGTTTGACAACCTAAATCTAAATATGCAAATGTATGTGATGTTTCTTTGGGGAGGTGGATTAGGTTTTCTGCTTTGCTTGTCTATGTGTGTGAGGAAAGAGAATAATATGTTTTAGATGAATAACTGAAGGTAGTAATTTCGTTGTTAGAATCATCATGGATTTATTTAGAAGTAAGTAAATTTTATTCAGCTTTGAACTTCGTAAATAAGCTGGCTATTGCTTAAAGACTTTTTAGAAGAACAAGTAATCTTACAAATCAGATTATGTTCTCTTACTTGGTAGCATTAGAAAAGAGCCACTAAAACAATCTTACTTTTTTTGGTGATGCCCGTAATGTTTAATTCAATATTCATGGACTTTATTCCTTAGTGAGATTAGTTGTATCACTCTTCAAACAGTCTATATGTTTTAAAGTCGTTGTAATGGTATAGACACTTACAAATTATCCCTAGGACTGTTGAATATAAAGCTGCTCTTTAAGTCAGCGTTTTGGCTTACTGCTTCTCCAGCCTATTCTTCCATTCATAAGAATACTAATCATTTTGAAATTTTCATAGAAGATACTTGCTGTTAGTTAGTGTACGTATTAAAATTTTGAGGTCAGCGAATTGACTATTGTTTAGGAAAAGATGGCAGGATAAATGTTGGTGGGTGTAGAGCTGGGAAAAGGGTGTGGCCAAGAAATAGTTACATTACCCTGCTACCTACTGCTTTTCTATATCCCATTACATTTTAGAATATATTTATCATAGGCAAGATTTTCTTGTGATATTCTGTACTTTTCACAATTCCAGAAGCTTTTCCGCTTTAACCGCAAGGCATTGTCAATTTTTTGAAGGGTACAACCCAAGTGAGTTGCAATCTTTGGTTTTTAATACCTAACAGCTGTTTTTAATGTGTCTGAGATCAAAAACACTTTAACCGGAAGGCAGCCTCTCTTCTTCACCCCTAACCACACTTCTGCTTTCCTGCTCTTTAACTCTTGTCTTTAGCAGGGCTGAGTGTTTGTGTCCCTGACATCTACAAAGATAGCGCAGGGGATCCATTTGTGTCTGAGTTTGGGGTGGGAGTCCCCTTCAGGCATGCCTGTTGAATTTGCATTACAAAATCGCTGCTGTTTATTGCTTACTGCATTTGTTGCCCAAAGGCATTAGGATGGGAAAAATTAACAGTTTGCCATTCGTAGGCAACTGTAGGCAAATCCATAGAAGACCATCTACGGCCAACTGGTGCTCTGAATATTTCTGGTGGAAGTTCATGTGTATAAGTCTATATGCTTTTTCTCCTTTTTTAGACAAACACTGACTTCCATAGGCTCATGCAGCTGTGATAGTACTGTATTGCCTACTTAGTATGATCTGTGTGGGAGCTCCATCTTCATCGATTTAGCCCTTTTTCCTACTGAAGGGACATTTTCATTGTTAGAGGACATCCTTCCAGAATGGGAATTCTTAGAGATGTGCATGTCTGTACCAGAAATCTTCTGAATGGGTCTCTTTGCAAGATACAAAATAAGAATTCTTAGTTCAGCCAAGTTAAGCTTAAGAAGAGAGCACCTGTAATAGAACACGTTGATGTCAGTTTGAATTCCTAAAGCAGAGTAGTAAACCATAGTTTGCGCTGATCTTCAGAGAGTGGGGAGAAGATACAGAAGCCTGTTCAATATTTCAGAGCGAGGCCCTGGAGAGTTTATTAAAAGCGTACTCCCAACCCTTTCTTGCTCTGAACCTTGTTTATGATAATCCCCGTTGGTCAATGGTAAAGTATTAAAGGAAAAAACAGTTCTTTATATTCTGGGTTGGGTCAGGCCTGGCACTCGTTTGCCTGAACACAGTTTGGAGAGTGAGCCTGGCTGGCTGTAACACAGTGGAAGTTGGCATTAGTTAGATGCAGTATGGTTATTTATGTGAAGTGCCAAACTTCCATTTGTCTTTCATGCTACCCAAATATTTAACACCTCTGAAGAGAAGCCTCTCTTCTCATGCTGGGAAGGGAGAAGCAGCAGACCTCTGCAGGAAGTTGCAGCTACAACTCAAAGTTGTAACCAAACCACAATAACACCTGGTCCATGTAGTGCTGCTAACTTCATTGTTTATGTTTCTCTGCGCTCTTAGAATGGATCTTTTAGGTGGGAAGGGAAGGTGTGTGTGTGTTCCTATTTCAAATGTTTTTAAAAAAATAAATAGTGCTATGAAAATGTTCTAGGGACTTTATTTTCATTATTTTAAGCAACTCAGTTCTGTGGAATATCTTTCACTTTAAGGGAAGCCACATCTTCATTTCTTTCGGAGAGGATTGTGTTTATTGGAACTTGGACTTCAGAGTATTCCTCTTTCATATTAATATTTGCTTACAAATTTGACTTTCCCATTATTTACATAAATAATTAAGGAAGAAAAGTGGATTTGCCCTAATGTTGTTGTTGTTGGGTACTGTAGAGTAGCTGACCCTCTTGCGAGTTTTTAGAGACAGTTAATCAGACATTGCTCCTGTGGAGCAGCTGGTGGCCTCGAACCGCGTGCCGTCAGGATCACAGCACAGCTTCTTTCCACCAGGCCACCAGAGTTCAAACACTGTTGAACTTTGCTATTGTACAACTTTGAAAACCGTCACTTTAAGGAGACTGTAGTTTATGTTTTAAGCAGGATTCAAAGAGCTACTTAATTTTATTTACACAGAGTTATTATTAACTTTCTAAGCTAATTATTCAAATTTGTTTACGTATTGTTAAAGTCTTTGCTGTGCACTCAGAACCGACGCATAGCTGACCCTCCATTGGGTTTCTGAGGCTTATAAATCACTCGCGAGATCACGCACCTTTCTTCCAAGGAGTCACTGGTGGATTCTGACTCCAGGAAGGCAAGGCCTTTGTGTTAACAGTGCAACTCTCCAGAGGTGAGGTCTCCAGAGGCGAGGTCCCCAGAGCTCCTTGATGCAGATTTAGTTTTTCCCTTACATATAAAGTGCAAAATTAGTTAAGTTTTAGGAAGTTTTCACTGTTTAATTTGAATGTAATTATCCCCTTCACCCCCAAACTCTTTTATGTAATTCATTTGTGGTAAGGATCAATTATGAGCTATTGATTTTTCTGCTTCAAATATCTGTGGTCAAATGGTTTGCTCCTGCCAGTGTCTCAGGAGCTTTATTACAGATGACCTTTTAGGACTTTATAAGTGCGCTTGGAGTATTGTGAGGTAAGTGTATAATTATTCAGATTATTTTTTTTAATTGACTGTTGGAATTTTTTGTTCATTCATAATGATAAGGGACCATTACAAAAGATACTCTTTATTTTCCCCAAAACAAGACCATTGAACTATCTTAGAGAAACTCTGGCTTTTAAAAATACATCTGCTTTCTGGGTGGCCATGCATATCCTGGGTTTGTTCTTAGCAGGTTCATTATTTTAATACCATGCTCTTGTGAACAAAGGTAAATGTATAATTTAAAGGGATAGAGGTGGGACCTTCTGGATAGTTCATGTAGACTTGAA